ATAGGCCAATCCAGAGATAGACAGCAGGTTTGGTGGTTGCCAGGGTCTGAAGGGAGGGGTATGGGTACTGGGTTTTATTTGGGGTGATGGGTTCGGGGACTAGAGGGTGTGAATGTACCTAATGCCACTAAACTGCTGAATTGTACACTTTAAAATGGTAAAAATGGTGAATGCTATGTGTATTTTATCACAATAAAATTAAAGAAACTTGTTTGGGGGGAAGGGGGCATACAATTAGTTAGCTGTGCCTGGGTTCTAACTCAGCCCTACCACGTACTAGCTATGTAACCTTAGGCAAATCACTTAAACCAGTGGTTCTCAACCTGTGGGTCGCGACCCCTTTGGCGGTCAAACGACAGGCGACCATCCTGCATATCAGATGTTTACATTACGATTCATAACAGTAGCAACATTACAGTTATGAAGTGGCAACGAAAATAATTTTATGGTTGGGTCACAACATAAGAAACTGTAAATACAGGGCCAGAAGGTTGAGAACCACTGATTAAACCCTCAGTTCTCATTTCCTCATCTGTAAAGTGGGCATAATTATAACAGTACCTCCCTCATAGGGTTATTAATCTTAAATGTGTCAATATATTCAAAGTGCTTCATAAAATACCTGACTTATCAGAAGGAAATATTTGTGTTATCCATCTAACCCAGGTATTCTCACTTGGGGGCAATTTTGCCCCAGCAGAGAGATTTGCCAATGTCTGGGGAGATTTTTTATTATCATAGTTGGGGGGCTCTACTGGCATCTAGTGAGCAGAGGCAAGGGAGACACTAAACATCCTACAATGCACAGCCTCCCACAGCAAGGAATCATCTGGCCCCAAATGTCCATAGTTCCAAAATTGAGACTCCCTGACTTAAACAGAACATCTAGGGAAATGTGCTTCATGTAGGGCAGGGGTGGGGAATGTCTGGCCTGTGGACCATACGAGGCCCATGAAATCATTTGGTCTGGCCCTGCCAAGGCATTAGGGGTGAGTTAACTAAATGCTTGACCAAATATAGCAGGCTAATTTTTAAGTTGATAATTTTGTATGGCCCCACAAATGATGTTATAAGAATCCAAATGGCACTTGGCAGGAAAAAAAGGTTCACCACCCCTGATCTAATGAATGTATAGATTTTTAAAAAATAGGTCAGATAGAAAATGTTGTTAGAAAAACTACTGTTAGCAGCTGTTCATGCATATAAGAAGATGTATTAGTCATTGTGGGGGGTGTAGAAGAAACCCAGGCACTGTCCTGGAGAAGGTTGGAAAGATGAGCTGTGTGTGGTGGAGTTATTGAAGAGGGACCTTTTCACCAAGAGACGTTTGTAATCGTTTTTCCTTTATTAAGAGGGTGATCTGGGGTCACCCACACTCCTCACAATAATGCTTTCTCAATGCCAACACTCTGGTTCCTTGCAACGAGACACTTTAAATGAACAGTGTCTAGTTCCTCCACGCGTCTGAATGTGTCCTGTGTTTGGGTAAATTCTATTGAGCACATATCTGAAAAAGAAATCACTATCACCAAGAGAAATGAAAAATTACTTGTTATAAGTAAAGGCAGTGATGCAAGAGCAAACATTAAATCCCCTTGTATTCAACCAGCCGTATACCAAGAGGAAAAGGAGACCCTTTGGCCCACTTTCCATTGAAAGGGTCATTTTATCAGATTCTAAAACCATGAATCCATATAATTAGCCTCATTCAGATCACAGAATCTGTTCTTGCACAGAGTGGTTCAACATCAGAAGGTCTCTTGATTTGCTAGCCGTGAAGGTTTGGGAAGAGACCCTTCTCCCTCCTGTCTTTTTGCCTGTTGGCTAAGGATTAGAAGCCTTTCCCAGGTGTGCCATGCCTTCACTCAATCCTGTGAGTGGCAGATGGCCTTTGGGATTGGGCAATGGGAAAGAGGGCTAAGGAGTCCGGTGGAGCCCATCAGGAGGGCAGACTCCTGGAGGTTCAGGTCCTTGGAAGCTAAAGCATCGCGATGGGTGATTGTAGGGTGGGCCAGGAGATCCCACCCCATACACCTTTGCACACCTTTCTTCACAACTCTGGCTTCCTATACAGTACAGGTACTTTCTGGCAACTTATATTTAGTCAGTGCTACCATGGCAAGGAATTTTATTAGACACCCTTGTAGGGAGAAAGCGGTGAATTAGACATAGAGCATGTCACAATGAGTTCTCAGGATGGCAGGGGTACTGGACCTGTTACAGATCACCCCGCTAGAAGATAGAAAGTGATAAGCACAAAAAAGGAAAATGTGGGGAAACCCAATGGGACTTCAGAGGAGAGAGTTTGCCTTCAGTGAGGAGGTGAGAGAAGTCTTTTTGGAGAAGGGGCACTTTAGTTAGGATGTGAATGTTGGTGAAAATGTAGACATGTTGAAATGATGCTGGAATATTCTACAGGACAGGGCAAGCTACTGAGGTGAGAAGTTGAGTATGTCAGAGAAGAGGTTTGGTAGGATTTGTGGAGGGGGTGGAGGGAAATAGATGAGCTGGATAGATTGGGGCAGTCCAGGGCATGGGTAATTCATGGAGAATCATTGGCATCTTCTGAGCACATGGAGCAGTGACTGGATTAAGAAGATTCTTGTGCTGTGTGTACAGGTGGACCGGAGGGATATGAAGGGTCTGAGTCATTGCGGGGCAAGCATGGTAAGGAGGGGAAGACTTGGCCAATACTTCAGATAAAGCATTTGGTGGGACAGGTTGGTGGATGTGGTACCACAGGCTGACTAAGGCACCAGGACTTGGTGTTCAGGAACTTGAGTGATGGACACACATGTTCTGGGTTCTAGTCCTGGCTCAGCCACTTAAACCAGCTACATGTTCTTTGGCAAATTGCTTCACCTCTCAGTGCCTCAATATCTTTATCTGAACAGTGGGAATAAAAGTCAGTTCCTCATACACATGAGCTGAAATTAAATGAGTAAGTGCATGCAACACAGTCTAAAGATTGTCTAGCACAATATAAGTCATTCTGCTCCATAGCTCAATATAAACACTGACTGTTGTTGAAGGTCACAGAGGATGAAATGGGAGAGTTCACTTTTGAACCAAGCTGGAATGAGCGTGATGGCCAGGAATAAAGAATTACATCGGAAATGATTGATCTTTTGTTACTCTCCACAAAGCTTCTTGCAGGGGTTGGAACATGAAGCCGTGTTACAGTAGAGGAAGGGTTGAAATCCATGGGCCATCCATCCATGTAATGGTCCAGCCATCTATGTTCTTCTCGCTTTCTAGTTGCAAAGGCATTGATTTTATTGCCTGGCATTAGCTGCATTAAACTTTGCCAACAGATCAGGACTTCTCCCAAGACGTAATGATTCCTCACTTCTGTTAGTGGACAGATAGATCAGGGACCAAAAAACCGTGGTCCTAAGAGAGACCATCAAATAGATGATGCTTTTTGAAGAGCAAGGAAGGCTTTAGGCTTGTGCACTCACAGAATGAACATGGAAGATGTCTTATTTCAAGGAAAAGCAAGTATGATGTTTTGGTTTGGGTTAAGGAATGCGGTCTGTGTGGGTTGGGGGGGCTGCCTGTTGCCGGCGGGAGAAGAGAGACTGGGGTTATCCTGGAGCCGACATCCTACCTCTTGTTTTGAAATTCTGGCTGTAGACCTCACAGCTGAAATGCTATGCCTTCTTCCCTGCCCCATTCTGCTCGGACTGCTCTAATTTAAGGCGTGTGTGTGAATGAAAAGTGGACTTTCACTCAGACTGCTCTAATTTAAGGCGTGCATGTGAATAAAAAGTGGACTTTCAAGTACTGGGGCAGATTTCTTTTTAAAAAGAGACTCAAGCTTGATCCCAAATAATTAAACAATCATCAGGTTTAAAGGTTTAAAGTTCAGCCCAGGATGGGGTTCGGAGCCCCAAAATAATTAGATGCAGCCTCAGGCTTTGAACATCAGAGCTAGTTGTGTGTGTGAGTGTGTATGTGAGTGTGTGTGTGTGAATATCTATGTGAGTGTGTATGTGAGTGTGTGTGAATGTCTATGTGAGAGTTTTTGTGTGTATGTGAGTGTGTGTGTGTGTGTGAATGTCTGTGAGAGTGTGTGTGTGAGTGTGTATGTGAGTGTGTGTGAATGTCTGTGTGTGTGTATGTGAGTGTGTGAATGTGTGAGTGTGTGTGTGAATGTGTGTGAGTGTGTGTGAGTGTGTGTGTGAGAGTGTGTGTGTGAATGTGAGTGTGTGTGGTGTGTGAGTGTGTATGTGTGTGTGAATGTCTATGTGTGGGAGTGTGTGTGTGTGTGTGAGAGAGTGTGAGTGTGTATGTGTGTGTGAATGTCGTGTGAGTGTGAATGTGTGTGAGTGTGTGTGAGAGTGTGAGTGTGTAAGAGTGTGAGTGTGTGTGTGGTGGTATGTGTGTGAGTGTGTGTGTGTAAGTGTGTGAGAGTGTGAGTGAGTGTGTAAGAGTGTGAGTGTGTGTGTGGTGGTGTGTGAGTGTGTGTGTATGAAATGTGCTAGCAAGCAGGAGAGGTCTCTCCTTGGCAGTGTGCGCAGCCCCAGGAATAGAGCTGCCTGCCCCGGCCTCCTCCATTGATTCTTCAGTGGCTGACTGGCTGCGGCATCTGGGGGTTGCTGTGCACATGAATGTGCTATTGTTCCAGGCACACGTCGGCCTTAAGAAATAGCACAAAACAGGCCCGTCCTTATTCAGGGGCAGAGCCGCTCCATCCCGCAATCCGGCCCTTCCAGGTCACATGCCCGAGGCCACTGCAGACGGGACAGAGGCAGCTGCCTCAAATCTGCTGCCTAACATTAGCCACCGCTCCCCAAGCCCCTGCTCCCCAGCTCCACAGGGGACACACGATGTTCTCCCAGGAACTGTGGCTGGAAAATGAGAAAAAGTGTGCGGTGGTTCGGAAGCCTAAGCCGGGCAGGAAGCGGCAGGAGCTGCTGGCCGTGGCCTGGGGGGTGAAGGTGGGCGTGAGGGGTGGCTTTCTCTGGCCCCCTCTCAAACTCTTTGCCTGTCCACAGATCTCCTCCCTGGTCAGGAGGGCCGCCCTCACGCACAACGACAACCACTTCAACTATGAGAAGACACACAACTTTAAGGTAAGCCAGCCTCTGCCTTCTTTCTTCTGCTCTGAGCGGGCGAGGGACCAGGACAGTGTGTGTTTCCATCTGGTCTCTGATGCTAAAGTCACGCGACGGCTGCCCCTTGCTCCCCGCATGTAGCTACTTGCTTTGGATCTGACCTCACAGGCGACCTCAGAACGCCTGTGCTTGAGCGATGCCTGGAAACACCTCTGTGCACATTAACTGAGTCCTGCAGAGTTGGGCCCATTCCCGCTTCAGATTGCCGTGTCCAGGGAAGGACAAGCGGAGCGTGCCCCGTCAGTGGCCTCTGAGACCCAGTGTCAGCGGGCAGTACTTTTCCACGCAGCGTAGCCGCGAGAACGGTGCTGTCTCCGAGCAAGTGGCACAGTGGCCCGTTTCACATTCTGTGTTTTGTCTTCTGTCGTCCCTCCTTTGGTCTGTGTGTAGACAGCTGTGACAGCAAGCGATGACGGCCGATACCGTCCAGTCGCTTCTGTTTGTCCTCTGCGTGCGGGCAGCACCCCAGCCGCCTGGCCGAGCTCCCTGGGGTCGTAGCCTTGATCCTGCTCCCCAGACCAAACAAAAAGATGCGGAGAGTTGGTGGGAGTTCAAGTGGGTTTTCCCACGTGTATTTACAAACTGGAAACATGGCTATCTGCGTTTCAGACCGGCCCTGGTGGCCATGGCCTGCCATCAGGAAATGATGGCTTGTTTCCTTTGCCCTAGAGTGATTTCCAAGAAGGGTGGCGGAGGAGGCTGGTGCCAGACGGCCTGCCCTGCCTGCCCTGCTTTTCGGTGCTTCTAGAGCCGGGTGGCCTTGGAGGCTCTGCCCCAGCAAAGGGGCTGATGATTTGGAGGCTGGAGAGCGTGGGGACCAGGATGAAAGAGGCAGGAGCTGCTAATTGTGAACTGCCTTCTTGTAACTCTCCTTTCCTTTAGGGCCGGCAGCCTGGGGGCTGTTGGAACCAGCACAGCCCTTTGTGGGAGCTGGCCCAGGAAAGCTGTTCTGTTCTGCTGCTCTCTGGTCCTTCATGAGGACAAATGTGTGTCTATTAAATCTGCATTCGCGTCAGTGTGGTGCGTTCGCTGTGCTTCTGTTTTTGGCCATTTGCATGCTATAACTGAATGAGGGCTGGAATAGTTCAGCCCTCCGCATTGAGCGTGAGGGGGGAGAACTGCATTACAGGGCTCTTGACATTTCTCCCACCAAGAAATAGTGGCAGGTCTAATTTGGGGTATAAAAAGCTTTTATGGCTTTTTTCTTTTTTCCTTTCCTGTTTTCTATCTTAACCCTCATTGATGTTTTTGCCTTAAGAAGCAATCTTTCTGACTTTGGGCAGAAATCCTGATCCTTTGTATCTAGTGGATGCACTACCATGGGTGGGAGGGTGGATCTTCTTGGACTTGCAAATTCTTTCCCTTCCTCTTGAAAATTCCAGTTCTTCTGGCTTTCGGAGACAATTGGAGTTATGCCTTATATGGTGTGTTTGCATGGGGCAGCTTCTCTCTGTCTCTCTGTCTCTCTCTGTTTGTCTCTGTCTCTCTCTGTCTCTGTCTCTCTCTCTCTCTCTCTCTCTCTCTCTCTCTCTCTCTCTATATATATATATATATATATATATATATGACCTTAGCTTGTCTGAAAAACATCATGAGCATAGACAGTTGATTGATACTTTCAAAACTAATTTCAGTGTTTTAGTCTTAGGTCTATGAATGGGAAATGACATTTAAAACAAAAAGATCGTTGAGTCTTATTTTCTTAAATAGTCCTGTTGGCAACAAGATCGCTATCAATTGCTTATCACTGAAAAACACCAACCAGTTTTTAAATGTTCGCTTAAAATGTCAGTATCTGCTCCACGTGACTTCTTACTTATAGCTACTGAGAGACGTAAAAGCAGGGAGCAGGCCCGTTGTTAGAGAGGGTGCTTGAGCCAGACAGGAGCAGTTCTCTTCCGCCGCTTAAATAGCGTCTTTGAGACGCAGCAGGCCCTTGAGTGGCCGTGTCAGTCGGTTGTGGCTTTCAATGGTACTGCTGGTGCCACTGTCCTTAAGAATGAGTGGCTGGAGCTGGAGCGGTGCTTCCCTCTGTCACTCCTTGCCCCTCCCACCCTCCATCGTCCTTCAGCCTCTCTTCACACCCCCAAACCCCCACCCCCCACCCATTGTCTTTGGAAGAACCTTCTAAAACCAGGGTTTTTAGTAACAGGCCACTGAACAGACCTGAAGAAAATAAGTTCCCATCGAAGGCCCCAGCCATCTGCTTGGAATTAGCGTAAAATTAAGACGTAAAACACAAACTTTTTATTTATGTTGACTTCTCATAGGCTTTATTCTGAAACTTCCGTAATTTGGGTTGTTACTGGAAGGCATTCTGTGTACGGCACAAAGTAAGTGCTCAGTAAAAGGGACAAGTAGTCACATTGTCGTGCTGATCAGTGAATGAGCCGCACTAGGCCCTGTCAGGACTCTGGTCTAGCGGCTTCCTCGCAGAGGTTCCCATCTGCCAGTCAATCTTAATGCCTCACCCACAGGACTTTTTGCCCCATCAAGACTGTTCCCCCAGCTAAAAAGTGGTCCCCTGGCTCCCCCAGGTACCTCATCAAGAGGGATGACTGGAAGCCCCCAACCCGGCAGGTCCAGGGTGGGAACTCCCTCTCCGTTCTTTCAGAAAGTCCCCAGTCCTGCTCCTGAGGCCATAGCTACCGTCCTCGCGTTGGGAAGCATGTCCAGGAAAAGCCACCATTCGGCTCTGGAAATAAAACTTTTGGAGGCAAATTCAAGTTGTGCCTCATTTTTGCAATAATTTTGTACTTTGCCACCCTGTATGCAGATGATGCTATTTTAAATCCTAAATTCCCTGGGGTTACTTGTGCATCCTGGGCCTAAAAGGAATTTGTTGAAGGAATAATGAGGTTGATGATCTCCTCTCGAAAATGAACCGTTTGATACACAGAAAACCACTCTATTACTTTACTCGCACTACGTCTGCATCTCTGTTCTTCTGGTTGACTTTGGAGGCACTCTCCTATAAAAGGAATAGCTCGCTTTTAGGTGGTCTATCCTCATAATACTTACTGGCTGAGCACTAAAAATCTGTAGGCTGGCAGGCCCCGGAGCCCCCAGATCTGGCTAACTGGCCTTCTTTCCCCACTTAGCACAGTGATGGGGTAGCTGTGGCCAGCTTTGTGCTCTGGCCGTGACTTGAGCTTTGGCCAAGGGCTTAGTTCTCCTAGTCTCAGTTTCCTCGTCTGTAAAATGGGAGCATTGTAAAGTTTATAGAATACCTGTATATCACTTATGGTCTCTGGCACCCAATACAGTTAGCTTCTCTCATTATTTTATTATCATCTTTTTGTGTCTCTCATTTCTCTTGTGTTTTTGTGTTTAGCTTGAGCACTCTCTGTATTTCTTATTTTCTATCCTGACTTGGCCACGCATGCCTTTATTCTTTCCATCATCTCTTTCCTTCTTCTTTATTCCAGGCAGTACAAGCGACACGAGTGGAAACTTAGAGTCAGAAAGGAGCCAGGAGGGAACAGGGTGCAGGGAGGACCCCATCCTGGAGAGAGAGGGGCTCGCAGCTCATCTGGATGATCACAATCATAGCGGACTCATTACCCGGGGCTCTGTCTCCCCTCTTCCCACTCATGTTCTTAGCAGCCTTCCCAGGTCTGCATGTGTGTGTACATCACTGGCTCCTTACACCAAATTCTCTCTCTCCACCAGGCACTGCAGGAACACCCTGTATGGGATACAGATGGAGAGCAGAGGTCCAGAAAGTTCTAAAGATTAAGAGCAAACCACTCCACCCTAACCTTACCCCATGTTCTCCCAACCCCTGACCATCCACCCCATCCCCACGTGTGGCAGATAACTCACTCCCCACCACAGGTGCCTCGTCCGTGGCTTGTTGCACCTGTTAGCACCTGTGTTAGTTGTGCTGTGTCCTTCCCCACATGTAGCCCTTGTCTGGGTCACCAGACTGTGCCAGGGAGACGGAGACTGTATCAAGGGGCGTCAGGCCAGCTCTCTTTCCCCGTTTGACCGGAGGGCCTGGCTGTGCAGTGCCGCTCGGTTCATACATGGGGAACTGGGGACGGCACACACATGCCTGGTTACTCCTCTTGTCCAGCTGCCTTTGTGCTGACTCTCAAGAGTGGCCCTGTCCAGGCAGAAGTTTGGTGGTCGCCCACCTTACCTTTTATGTCCCCCACTATTGATAGATGGGGCTGCCAGCAGCACCCCTTCCCCATGGTGCGTCCCTGCCGTGTGCTCCTGCTCACAGGCCTCCCGCCCATCAGGTGCCAGGACAGGACCAGTCAGGAGGCTGAGGGGGTCCGGGAGTGACGGCACCACCACCACCCGCCTTGGGTTTGGGGGTTCATTTACGGTTTCTGGGCCCAGCACTGGCTTTCCTTCCGCTCAGTCTGGTGATCACTTGCTCTGGGATGAGCCACTTTGGCCTCCCAGATGCCCACCCCTCTCTCCCCGTCCTCCTCGATCTCATAAAAATGCGCAGCCCTTCCTCCCGTCATCTGCCTGCCTCACGTGGGCACAGGCAGAAATCGGCTTCAGCAATGGCTGTGGGCTTTATTTCGTTTCTTTTGTTTAATCATCAGAAAAGGCTGTTTGGGCAGAAACAAGTCTGGAACAACTGGCAGGAAAGGCACACTCATCGCCTTGAATATAAACTGAGGGACTTGCCGTGAGGCCGGCATACATGGGCTTGGAAATTGTGTTTTTATGAAGAAAACACGGGGTCTGCTCCCAAAGTGCAGTGAAGAAGAGCCACTTTTTATCTGCCTCCTACTGGGGCCCGACCCCACCATTATAATGACCAGAAACTCCTGGTTTTCAAGGAATAGAACCCTTGGAAATTGTCATAAGCTAAATGCGAGGCTATGGTGCAGGAGGAGCTCATACACCCCCAGGGACTACTCAGAACTCAGGAGGTAGGACACAGGAGCTAGGAGTGTGCCTGGACCCAGCCTCTCCTTCTCCTCCCCCTCCCTTCCTCCCTCCATTCCCTTCCCTCCCTCCCTCCCTCCCTCCCCACCACTTCATTGCTCTCTGCTCTCTGGATATCAGCTTCATTGATCTCTCCCTGCACAAAAATGCCTTAGTCCGTATGGTCTGCAGAATATGGCTGATGATAACTCCCTGGTTGGTTGGTTTGTTTGTTTGTTTGTTTTTATCCTCACCTGAGGATATGTTTTTGTTGATTTTAGAGAGAAGGGAAGGGGGAGAGAGAGAGAGAAACATCGATTGGTTGCCTCCTGTACACTCCCCGACCGGGGCTCAAACCTGAAACTTAGGTCTGTGCCCTGACCGAGAATGGAACCCACAACCTTTTGGTGTAGGGGATGATACTCCAACAACTGAGCCACCCGGCCAACCCACTCCCTGGTTTATATGTTACCAAACCAGCAACAAAGCCCCAGTCCCAAGCTTCCAGGGAGAGTCAGAGTAGCTTGACCTGGAGCAGGTGTCTGCCCTGCTCAGGTCCCTCTGGCCCCTGTAAGCTTCAGGTGGGGTCCAGGTTGCCTGGGGCGTTCAGTGCCCAGGTGGTGAGTGAAGGAAGGAGCCTGGGAAAGTCAGCTATAGCCTTTCCCTCCTGGTTATTGACTTCACACTGAGTTTTTTCTATTCCAAAGAACAGAGAATCCAAAGAGACTATCTGAAATGTCTAAAATGGCTGATTCTGCCATGTTACATCCATAGGAACACTCTTTTTGTGTTCTGTTGGGAGGGAAAACAGCACCAGTGATTGCTGTCATATTAGCTGGGTGTCTTTGAAAGTTCTGATGAGAGGAAACTGTTTAGACATGGAATTTTTAGTCATCAAATGTGGACTGAGGACTGATTATGCGCCAGGCACTGCCAGGTGCGAGGAAGACGGAGGTGACATGAGAATGGGACCGTGTCCTCTCCTGGGTGGCTCTCTCCCAGCGGGTGTTGCAGCACATCATAAGCAGCTCCGTCTACAGCCTGGGCTGAGCTGATTATCCACTGGGGCGGCCCCTGCCTTGACCCATCGAAACATACTTGTTATGAAACCAGCAGGGATGACTGCCTTCCAGCCCTGCAGATGTGAGACAGGTATCACCCTGCTCACTCACAGTGTCATGTCAGGGGTACTTCCTCAGCGCCCGGGCTTTTCCTTGGCCATTCCTCTTGCTCTTGTTTCCATGCAATGGCCATTCCTGGGCTCTTTGTCCAACATCCCTTATCTCCTGCGTATCATCGTCTTCTGTTTGGTGTGGTTTTCGAATTCCAGGCAGACCAGGCCCAGTATAATAGCCTTGGGCAGACATTCTTCCTGTCTAGGGTATTTTCTTCCTGTCTGGGGTATTTTCGGTTCTGCCCTAAAGTTTGCAAAATGTTCTCTCTCTTTTTTTTTTCTTTCTGAAAAGATATTCTTGAAAATCAATAAACTTCAGCAAATGGAAAAGGCTGATTAGTGACTTTTCAAGATACGGGGTGTTTCGTTGGAACGGTTGACATAATAACTCAGCCCGAAATAACATGGGTTCGGAGAGTGTCCCGGCTTTTACATGTAGGCTACTATTCAGAGAGTGTCCTTGTGGACCCAAAAGAAAACCGGACTCTATCAGCCGTGAAAACAAACAGTGGCCCATCACAAAGGGGAAAGTAGGCAGTGGGCCTAAAACAATGTTGAACTAACTTGACGTTCCCCTCCGCCCCTTTTTGTTTATCTCTGGGGGAATGTGTGGACACAGGGAGCGAGTTGCTATTCCGAAGTGCCTGCCTGCATTTGTTTGGCTGGAGAAATGAGATCGCAGGCAGTGGGGATACATTGACGGGAAAGGATGCTGGTAGTTATGGGTGAGGCTAATCAGCATTCAATGTAATTTTGATATGTTTAATTATTTTTTTAAATATTGGCAAAAAGGGAAATTTCAGAAAATCTATGATTAGCGTATCATTTATTTCCTGAGCATTAAGTCAGCCAGTTTTTCATTTGGTCAATGTGTAGTAAACATGGTAGCTACTCTCCTCATTTCTAAACATTGCATTTTCATTTTGACCCCAAAGTATGGAGGTATTTCCCATGCAAATTCTTTATCCACTAGAGATATTCCAGAGAAGAATTTGATCACTTTTTTTTTCATGACCTAAAATAAAAGAATATCTTTCAAAAACCAAGCCCACCACCATTGGCTTTTGGCTACGCTGTTTTCGCTTCTTGGAATGTTTTCCCAAGTACTCCGCCTCCACAGTCAGCACTATCACTTCCCCAGCAGCTCAGTGTTTCCCAGCCTGGTGAACTCCTATCCATCTTTCAAAACCCATTTCAAATATCACTTTCTCAGCCTTCTCAGAAACATGTGGTATTCTCTCCAGCACACTACCATAGGGTAATTGTTTCTGTGGCCTATTTATTCTTGTAGATGAGATCCTTGAGGGCAGGGAGGTCTGGGCTCCTCTGATATATTTTGACTTTGTATCTTTATGGACTTCTCCAGTGCCAGGTTCAAAATAGGCAGTCAGCATGCCAATGAGTGAATGATGAATGAGAGGGTGACAGGTGGATGACGTAACACTAATTCACCTCTCTGACATCCTTCCCCTAATATAATGCCACTTCTGAAACATACCCAGTCTCCCTGTGTATGCGACTTGGTTTCTGACCTTTCCACTCGAATCCACTGGCCTGTTTGTCCATCCTGCATGGTGTTTTCCTTTTGTAACTATAGACATCTTGCTAGATGGTCAGATGAGTTTTCCTACATTCTTCTACTCACTCGAAATTATCATGGGCTATTCTTTTCTTCTCTATTCTTCCATATGGAATTTAGGGTCATCGTGTCAACTTTTGTGGAAAGCACCACAGAACAGAGATTTTTACTGAAATTGCATTGGATTTATAGATTCATTCGATTCAGTTAGAGGCTAATTAACCTATTTATTATAACATTGGGCATTGCCATACATGAGTATAGAATATCTCCTTATTTGTGTCCGTAATGTCATTTATTAAATTATGTTCTAATTATTTTAGAGTGTTGCTGCTGTTGTAAATGGAGCCTTTGCTTTTTACTATTTAATAAAATGGTGTTACTTCTATAGAGCAATGCTGATTTCTTCATATATATATATATATATATATATATATATATATAGTGATTTCAGAAAGGAAGGAAGAGGGAGAGAGAAACATCAATGATGAGAGAAGCATTGATTGGCTGTCTCCTGCACACCCCCTACTGGGGATTGAGTCCACAACCCGAGCTTGTGCCCTTGACCAGAATTGAACCTGGGACCTTTAGTCTGCAGGCTGATGCTCTAGCTATTGAGCCTAACTAGCCAGGGCAATGCTGATTTCTTCATATTACTCTTTTATTAAGCAAACTTGGCCTCATTTCTTCTTCCAATCATATATTATATTTCCTGTCTTCTTTTGTTATGCTGCTAAACTCTATAGAATAATACTCAAGAGAAGCATTGATAGCAGACAGCCTTATCATTTTGCTGACTTTGAAGGAAATTATTCTAATGTTCCATCTTAAATATTATGTGTAACATAAATACCTTTAATCAGCTATTTTTAGGAGCATCTCCTCTATTCCTAGCATGTGGGATGCTATTATTATGAGTAAATGATGAATTGTGTTTGATTGTTGGTATTCTAATTTTTGAAATGCTGATGTGGTTTCTTTTGTTATTGGGGTGAATTCTAGTAATATGTCAACTACCTTAAATTCATGAAATTAAACTATCCTTGATCAGGACATTTTTTTAAATATAAAGCTATATTCAGTAGGATCTTTTTTAAAGAATGTTTACATTTATATTCATAATTGAAATGATCTATCATTTTACTGCCAGGGGCCACTTTGATCAAAAGAACAAAAGCTGAGCTAAATCAGCTGTAGCGACCAGCTCGGGCCACCTTGGGTTGGTCCACACAGTGCCTTGTCTGGGTGGTAAGAGTCTCATTCTTCAGCTGATGCCATGGCCCTATGATCTTACTGTTTCTCCTCATTCCTTTCAGACTCCGGCCCCAGGCATGGTAGATCCATGTAGGCTGTTCAAAGATCAGAGCACATCTCTGTTCTCTCTGGTCCATTTGCAACTCTGCCTCCCTGGAGAGAACAGGCCCAGCGAGGGATGCTCATTGCCACTAAGGCCTTTGTGTCTTGACTTCATGCATTTGTTGCATAACTGAGGCCATCTGCCGCAAAACGACTGAATTTTCTGACACTCTTCTTCTTTTTGGATCACAGGTCCACACATTCCGGGGCCCGCACTGGTGTGAATACTGTGCCAACTTCATGTGGGGGCTCATCGCCCAAGGGGTCCGGTGCTCAGGTAGACACGGAACTTTCTTTATCCTTCTTCCATTTATATGAAGTGCCACCATGTTGAGCTGGAGGGCAACTCTCCAGAGCTTGGAAATAGGCCCAGATTAGCTCAAAAGTCTAGCTTTCTGGAAGGTTCAAGGCATCCTTCTAGGTATTTGCTAGAGTGGAGAGGAATGGCTTGTTTATGTAAGACAAGAAAAATGCAAGCAGATGCACTTCTGTAGGCGCCTACCTGCCTCCCCAAATAGGCAGGATTCCTTAAAAGGAAACTAAATTAATTCCAATGGAATCATATAGATAGAAAAACCACTTTTCTTTGTCATCCCCACTTTACTACAAAAGCAAGGGCATGAAAATAATAATACTGGAGAACATTGGTCACATACCAGGCACTGAGCTAAGCATTTTCTCTTTATCATGCCAATTAGCCTCACCAACAGATCTTGGGGGAGATGCAGTTATTCTCCCCATTAAATAGATGACGAAACTGGGGCTTACAGATGATTGTTAATTGCCCTTGGCCACAGACTAAGCAGTGAAACATGGATTTGGCGCCAGAGCCCATGCTCAGAACTTTTCTGCCCTCAGATAACAATGAAACCTTGATTTGATATCACATAGTTTCAAAGCATTTTGAAACCCTAGGTGTTTTTCTACGTAGAACTGGACGCACACACCCATTGCTAGCAGCACACAACACATCTTGTTAAGATACATCTAACAAAACATAGCAAAGAATTGCCAAATTAATGTGTGACTGGGCTTCCTACGTCATCTTGCCATGCTTTCTCTGGCAAGCAGTTCGGGTCGGGAGCAAGAGCAGCCTCCTGTGATATATCGATTGGATTTCCACCAACACCAGGACTGATACTTTCCTTGCTAGGGTGAGATTTACAAACAGAATTCTTATGAAGCATTTAAAATAAAATAAGGTAATGACACTACATTACGATGATCTGTTGTTTCCCCAGACTGCCCGTTTGGGCTCACAGGATCATGGGATTTCAAATCCTTTCTCCACTTGAAAGAGGCAATCTTAGCTTCTAGTGTAGACACAGCAATCACCGGTAGTGATGCCTGGAGGGCTCAAGTAGATGCTCATGTATGTCTGTGAACTCCACCTGTCCCCGCCCCGCATCTATGAGACAAGCAGTAAACATAGGCTCAAAGCAGTCTTTCCAGAAATGATCCAGATACTCCCATTAACACAAAAGACTCAGCGAGAGCTACAGAGCACCTCCCAGGTGAACCCCTGAGCAAAGTGGTAGACTATCTGAAGTACTCAGTGGTATTAATTCAGCCTGCCTGCTATACCCACCAAAAAGATCCCTAATTGCTGGTATTATCCAATTTCAGCGAGAAATTGGTGCAAAGTCAATATTATGAAAACAAAACTCTGGGATTCAGATTAGCTTTGAACAGCAAATTTCTTGGGGATAAAAGGGTGTTTCTCTCCAGTGGCCACCATATAGCCTCATATTCCCCTGAGCAGTAGGAAACCTGCAAACTGATCATTAAAGGGTAAAAGAACAATCCTTGCCTCTCAACTCTCCATATTTTACATATTTTAAACATTTTTAAATGAAACACACTTCATTTTTAGTATATGGAGATGTATTAGTTTGAAAAACCTGAATATTTTTATATTTGTTATAAAACATCTTCATTTTAATAAAATATCAGGATTTTATTCTACATAAACACTATTGCTTCAGATATTAAACGAAGTATATAAGGAAGTTGAGAATAGAATTATTATGTAAGCCAGCATTTCCACTTCTGGCTATATACCCCATGGAGAGGAAAGCAGCCACTCAAACAGGTCATTGCACACCCATGTTTAGGGCAGCATTTTTCACAATAGCCAGAAGATAGCAGCGGCCCAGCAATGGGTGAATGGATAAACAAGATGTGGTCTATCCATACAAGGGAATATTATAGGAAATCCTGTCATATGTTACAGTATGAATGAACCTGGAGGACATTACGCTGAGTGAAATAAGCCAGTCAGAAAAGGACAAATACTGTATGATTCCACTTATGTGAGGTAACTAAAGTAGTCACATTCAGAGACAGAAAGTAGAACGTGGTTGCCAGGGGCCAGGGGAAGAAGGGTCTGGGGAATTCATATTCAATGAGTACAGAGTTTCCGTTTGGGAAAATGAAAAATATTTTGGAGATGGATGGTGGTGATGATGGCACACAATGTAAAGGTGCTTAAGACCACCGAACTGTACACTTAAAAATGGTTAAAATGGTGGATTTTGTGTATTGTATCTTTTACCCTAGTTTTTCCAAATTGTTTTAAATGAAGTTTGTAAAGATATAGTAAAAATAATGAAATAACTTAAGAACAGCTAAGCAGGTATCTTTGTGTTTTCTATCACCGTATTTGCGATTTCTTTGATTGAATTCTCACATAGTGTCCATCACACCCTAGTCTTTACATATATTAGCTTATCTGATCCTCATGATAACCCTACGAGTAGGTCTATTTTATCCTCATTTTATGAAAGAGGAACCAAACAAGAAGACCAACCAATTCTATTTAGTTCAGTTGGCCAAAATTTACATCTACTAAGTAGATTTATCAAAGTCTTATTGAAGTTCACTTGAGCTTTGGTGACCTTCTCATGTTGATGAAGCTGAAATGAATGAGAACAGTTTTTCCTTTGGAAGGGGGGTAGGCCGAGAGAACTTGGCCGGTACACATTACATAAAGATCATCTAGTGATTTTCAAAAATAATTTTTTGATGATTTTACAAAAGTTGAGATCCTCTCAAATCCTTAATGTGGTTAAGTGCTTTTTTTTTGCAAAGTAGCTGATTATAATATTTGTCATATGTATAATGTATATATCTTAGAATATAGTATATCATTATTATTGTTTTTCTTTATACCTAGAAAGACAAGTAATGTTAGAAGGCACTTTGAATAAGCAGCACATCAACTGTGAACAACTTCGACATTAAATTTTTATTTTCCAGCATGTAGACTGGGCTCTGTTACTGTTTGAGAAATTCCATCAGTGGATCCCAACTGCTCTCGAGGCTTTGCTATGCTCACAATGCATTCAGTGAACTAGAAAGCCCCTTTTCAGCTTTAGATCTTGATATGAGCTTTATAAATAATTACTTGCATCATCACATTTCATGGCATTGTTCTGCATTGTAAGCCCTCTGGTACTCCCACTGGTGTCCAGGTAGGCATCATTCCCACTCGCAGGTGTCAAAGTGAGGCAAGTGGCAGGAAAATGGCCTGTCCCCACTGCCCACAAGGAGGAAGAGTGGGAACTGTGGGCACCTCTCCAGGAAGGGGTTCGCAGAGAGAGTAATCTTGTCTCCCACAAGAGGAGCATCGAGGACTTAAGAGAAACAACCGAGCAGAAGTCCTACGCACCCGCGATGAGCCATGACTAGCTCTGAGACTCCACACCCAAAAGCCCACATGTGGCCACAAAGGTCCCAGGCCCGAAAGGGAAAGAAACATACAAACAATCTGGCTAATGACCAGGACTATCCCAGTGAGATTAGTCCAGCAGCAGAGAAAGCTTCGTGAGAACAAATGAATTATGTAGGAGTTTCCTGAATACATTCAGATTTCACACTCCTTGGATGGAGAGGACCACCTCTGAGTGGGGTGGACGCTCCAGGGAGATACGGCAAACCCTGGGCTGTTTTCGCCGTTTAATTTTGGTAACGTGTCATTTGTGCTGGGCTTTGGCCAAAGGGCAGGGCCATCTAATGTGGCTTCTTTGTTTCCAGACTGCGGGCTGAACGTACACAAGCAGTGCTCCAAGCACGTTCCCAACGACTGTCAGCCGGACCTCAAGAGGATCAAGAAGGTGTACTGCTGTGACCTCACCACCCTGGTGAAGGCGCACAACGCCCAGCGGCCCATGGTGGTGGACATCTGCATTCGGGAAATCGAAGCCAGAGGTTTGGAAAAGGCCCCTTGATATAAGGATTTGATTTTTACTGTTGCCAAGGAAACCTTCTTAGAATCGTTAAATTGACTCTCCACGGTTGATGTAGGAAAAATGGCCTGCACAGGCTCACGTGCACATGCGTGCACCCACACACACGAACTAAATCAATTTCTGTTTCATTCATAAACTATTCATGTGTGAAGTGCTTCCATGTATGCATTCAGCACATGCTTGCCGAGTATTTATCATGCGCTGCACATTGAAAATATAAAAGGCACATTTATTTGAAGGTATATAATTAAATTAATCATATGTAAACATTTAACATATTATCATATTTATGACTAAATAATATAAAGGCTATAAATTTGTGTTAGTTCTTAAATTTTCAATTGCAGTTGACATTCAATATTTCATTAGTTTCAGGCTTACAGCATAGTGATTAGATATTCATATACCTTACAAAGTGATTCTCCCAATCAATCTATACACCTGTGCCATACACTGTTATTACAATATTTTTTAAACATTTTTATTTATTTCGGAAAGGAAGGGAGAGGGAGAGAAAGATGGAAACATCAATAATGAGAGAGGATCACTGATTGGCTGCCTCCTGCACGCCCCACACTGGGGATTGAGCTCTCAACTCAGGCATATACCCTGCCCAGGAATCGAACCATGACCTCCCAGTTCATATGTCGACGCTCAACCACTGAGCCATGCTGGCTGGGCTACAATATTTTTTACTACATTCCCTGTGCTGTACTTTACTTCCCCGTGAGTATTTGGTAACTGTAAAAGGCTATAAAATTGGGCTGTTTCAACAAAATCAGGATAATATGCATCTCACACCTGCATACATTGATGTGTGTGGCACATGGACTAAGATGATGCGGAAGAGAAAGCAAGTAGCCGCCTGAGGCAGTGAAATCGCATCCAGCAGGCTGATGAACAAAACAAGGAGGAGATCATGTGGATGAGGATAGTAAACATGGGTTCGCTTTACAAAGCCAGGCAGGAAGAAGCCCCCATCACTGAGGTCTCTACCGTCCCGCAGCAAATGAAGACATGTGCGTGGAAATGGAGACGGACGAGTCCAAGTGCCGATGGAACAGTGGATGATGTAGAAGCACTGACAATTTTGCTCATTTCCTGATAGCACACAGTGCAGATGTGAAATTAGAGTGGTTCTTCGATGTTGCTGGAAGCTGGTTAAAGTCTGTCTGTTTTTTAACAGGATTAAAGTCGGAAGGTCTTTACAGGGTCTCCGGGTTCACCGAACACATCGAGGATGTCAAAATGGCATTTGATAGAGGTGGGCTTGCGCCTTCTTTTTTATTTAATCCTCACCTGAGGATATTTTTTCCGTTGATCTTTAAAGAGCGAGCGGAACAGAGGGAGGCGGGAGGGAGGAAGGGAGAGAGAGACAGAGAGAGAGAAACATCAATGTGAGATAAACGCATCAATTGGTTGCCTCCCTTATGAGCCCCGACCAGGCCCTGACCGGTTTGGCTCAGTGGATAGAGCGTCGGCCTGTGGACTGAGGGGTCCCAGGTTCGATTCCGGCTAAGGGCATGTACCTTGGTTGCGGGCACATACCCAGTAGGGGGTGTGCAGGAGGCAGTTGATCGATATTTCTCTCTCATCGATGTTTCTAACTCTCTATCCCTCTCCCTTCCTCTCTGTGAAAAATCAATAAAATATATTTTAAAAAAAAAATATGAGCCCCGACCAGGCCGGGGATCCAATCTGCAACTACTAGTAAGGTATGTGCCCTTGACCGGGAATGGAACCTGTGACCCTTCAGTCCGTGGGCTGACACTCTAACCACTGAGCTAACTGGCCATAGCATGAGCTTGAAAGCCAGATGACTTTTTAGTGCCCTGTCTTTGGGAACCAGATTTTATTCAAGCTGAGACCGGAGTTTCAGGGCTACTGAGAGCTGTTCTTCAGGAAGCCAGGGAGTAATCTCATTCTCCGCCTCTCTCGGGGGTACTTTTATTAAGTGTGGACAAGTGACCACACAAGGAAGTGAGTTTAAAATACTCCTTGAATGAATGGGCAGCCAACATTTGGTGCCATTAAATTCTTGTGTTGGTTGCCCAACACTTACGGTTACTCCCGTAGCACCAGGATATGCTCTGTCTCCCCATGTCAGGATCCCATTGGCGCTTCTCTTTCTCCCAAAGCTCCAAACAAGAGAGCAGAAGGGAGGGAGTGGGGTCCCTCACGCAGTAAGTTTGGGGAAGCCAGTGGAAGTGCAGGAGGTAACTGCTTTTGTTCCTTATGCCTATGTCATATGCTCCCCAGGCCATGTGACACAGTCATAAGGGAACTTTTTAAAAACGCAGATCACCGTGGCCCATTGTGGGGACTCATTCAGAAAGCTGGGTGAGCCCAAATTTCTGTTTTTCTAATGAATAACCTAGTGAATACTGCTGCAGCCAGTGGAGGGGTGGAACCTAGCCCGCTAGCTAGAACCTCCACTCCCTAGAATAGTATCCACAGTCTCTGATGATCTGGTCGCCCTGTCTGTTCAAGCTCATGGCCAGTTCCTCCTCCCTGTACACTTTGTACCCCGGCAACACGGAAACCCACCTTCCCGTTTTCATGGACAAGCCCCTCGGCCCACGTCGCTCTGTCCATCCATAATGCGCTCACATCTCTGCCTGGAACCACTCCCTGTTCACCGGGTGTCCGCTTGTCCTTCCTCTTCCCTGAATCCTCGCTGACCGCCCGCCCCACGCTGACCTACGAGTTCCATTTCCTTTCCTGTGCCGCCCTCCCTGTTTCCACGTCCCCAGCACAGCGGTCTTCCAGTCTCCTTGGAGCTGCTGAGTAGCATGTCTGACTCCCAATCTGACAAGGGCTGTTAGAGAGAGTGTGCCCTTTCTTCGCTGACTCACTGGGGCTTAAGAGTGCCTGGCACACGGTAGATTCTCAATACAAGTTTGTAAAATACGTAAGTGGGATCGTGTGGACTATCTGCTACACTCTCACTGTTCTCTGGGCATCAGCTTTTTTATCCTCAGAACCAAATGTGCTCAAGCATTTGTTCTTTCAATTCTCTATATAAGAGAAGATGCGAATAGTCTCTCAATAAAACAGATTTTGTTCAAAAACGTATTCTAGTATGTGCCAATTAAATTGGACTGATAGCTACGAAGGGCAAAACAAAAGGTCAAAGATTTTTGAGAATGATTGTAAAAATGGTAAGAAATATAATATTGCCTATACATGAGGGAAGGGCAAGGTTTCCCAAAATAAAGTCCTAGGGACTGGGAGGAGGAATCAAGCTAAAAGCATCTTCAGTGAGCCTGAAAGAGACAGTAGAAACTGAAGATATTCAACAGTTATTTTGTGTACATCATCTTCAAATCCAAGTTCAAAAAATACTGGTAGAACTATTTAAGGACTTACTGATTTTTTTAAAATTATAAATTTGGTTGTTACTGTATTCTACTATGAATCTGGGTACAATCCAGAATATGAATTTTGGGCTAAATTTCTACTTACCAACTTACCGTGAGCTGGGACCCAAATAACCATTTTAAGTCTATTTCACTACCCTTTCTGGCTACACTAACCCTCAGACCCAAAATCCCTCTCACCAAACTCCTTTGTGTTACTCCCAGCACCTCACCGTGATTGGAAGTAGTCAGCTGAGACTGTAAGGGAGCACTCGTTGGATTTTATTTTCCTCCCTGGGCATGCTTTAACTTGGTCAGATCAGCTCCTAATTAGGAACTGGGCCATTGATTATTTTGCAGATGGTGAAAAGGTAGACATATCTGCCAACCTCTACCCAGACATAAACATCATCACTGGAGCCCTGAAACTGTATTTCAGAGACTTACCCATTCCTGTCATCACCTATGATACCTATTCCAAGTTTATAGAAGCAGCAAGTAAGTAATAAGAACTAATTTTTCATTCGTATCAAATGTTTAAGTACAAGGCTTTTGAATTCAAGAGCATTCAAATGCAGAGCTGTTGAAATTATTGCCTGAGCGGCTTGCTTTGCAATTAACCACAATGGCACAGTTCGTGGGAAAGCAGGCACCGGGCCCCAGCTGCGTGGAGCCAGTACCAGGACAACTCGGCTGAGCTGAAGCCGCCTGCCAGGCAGCTGTCTCTGCCCATCAGCCCGTCTGTGCCGGGAACCTGTGCAGGCCTACTCTGTTAGACGCTGAAAGCAAGAATGTGTCTGCAGTAGAAAAAATTAGGTGTTCTTCAGTGAGGACTGTGGAGATTAGCTGCTTTCATCATCAGGGAGAATGCTGTTGCTAACCGATTGTAGTCATACCCCAAGTTTTTCCCATTGATGCTATTCAAAATTAACAACAGGCCAAGTGCTATGCTAGGAACTCTCATCAGTGTCCTCTCGTTTCATCTTATCTACCTGATGAAGCCAATATTACAATTCCATTTTACAGAGGAGAGCAAGGCTCACGGGTCTAGGAATGGAGCATCAGCCTCAGTCGTCCATCAGCCCACGGTTGCTCGTTCTGTGTTTGGCACGCTGGCCCACTGTTGTTGAGAGAGAGAGGACCACAGTGGTGAAGAGGGCAGGGGGGAAGTAGGGGGCCTACACTTTGCCTTGGAACATAGTGAGAAAGGGGTTCAGATGCTGGGATGCATGGCATAGATGCCAAGCCCCATTTTGAAGAAGTTTTATAAAAACGTATCGTCTTGAGAGGTAAGTGCTACTAAGTATGTAATGAGTCAGGGATTCGTGCACTTTGCAGAGGAGCTGTGGCCCCGCTTCCTGGTAAGAGCGTCCTTCCTTCCTGGGTCCTGGCGGTCCTGAGTAGAGAAGGTTCCAGCAGCGGGGTGCCCTCCGTCGCAGGAGGAATGACGTGAGAGCTTCCTGTGGGTGGCTGCCAGAGACGTAACAAGCAGAGCACGCGTGCTTCCTCCCATGGTCATGTGCCTCATATCCACTTCCTAGCCTGGACTGCACACCAGGGTTCACCATGCCAACACTTTGGTGGAAAGCGCCACTAATGCAGGCTGAGTTGCCTGGCTCGTCGGCCAGCGCCCTTGCCAATGATAAAGTTCTGGAAGCCTGCCAGGAAAGACTTAATTAGACAACGTTAAGGGAACGCTACCAAGTGAGATCTGGTGTAAATTAAAGCTTGTGGTGGTGAGATTTCTGGCAGATCCACCATTGAGAAGAAGCTGGGCAAAGCCCCATCTGTGCGGGTGCCAACTGTAAGCATCTGCAGGCTGCAGACTCCGGGAGGGCCAGCCTCTGCCCCCCACCCGGTGGGCATGCAATGCCCACGTGGTGCCCAGCTTCAAACCCCTTCTGGGATGAGGCAGGACACCAACAAATTCATTACTTTCAGTGAAATGTTGCCTGAAGTTGCATGAACTCGTTAGACTATCCCCCTGTCAGTAGCCTAACTTCTTAAGTCTCTGCAAGCTTGAATGCCGAGGGCTGCACTGACATTCCTCCTGTGTGACCCTCGCAGAAATCTCCAACGCAGACGAGAGGCTGGAAGCCGTCCACGAGGTGTTGATGCTGCTGCCTCCCGCCCACTATGAGACCCTCCGGTACCTGATGATCCACCTGAAGAAGTAAGCTCGGGCCTCCCGACGCCTCCTCCACGAACCCCGCCTAGACTAAACCCTCCGCGCACTGCGGGGTCAGCTAGCAATCCGCCCCTTCACACCCATATTCTCCCCATGACAGTTTCACGATTCTTCAGTTAGAAGGACCGATTTTTCTGATTTTAAAGATTGTGTCTATATCAGACTCACTTGGTAATTCGCTTGCACTGGCTGAGGCAATGTCCATAATCTAAGAAGAACAAACAATGAGAAAATTCTCTCTTTAAAAATGCTTTTCTGTCATTCTCATTCTTAATTTTCTTTTGCAAATTTCCAAACCAGAGAGGTTCTTGGGGGCATACGTGCATTGTCAGCATTAAAATATGTGCACGAGTTGGGATGATGGATGTCTTTGTGTGTGCCTTGCAGGGTGACCATGAATGAAAAGGACAATTTCATGAACGCCGAGAACCTGGGGATCGTGTTTGGGCCCACCCTGATGAGGCCGCCCGAGGACAGCATGCTCACCACCCTCCATGACATGCGGTACCAGAAGCTGATTGTGCAGATTCTAATAGAAAACGAAGATGTTTTGTTTTAACCCACCAGGGAGATGGGCTGAACGGCCCCAGGCCCATGGAAGTTCAGAAGGCTCCAGGAATAAAAAAACTCTTCTTACACTTGATTTTCCAAACAAGTGACGGAGTTTCCTGGACCGCAGTGGATGGCCACGTCGGCTACTGTGTCTCATAGACACTCGCTTCCTCCACGTGGAGCACAGCACGGGCGAGGGAGAGAGAAAGCCCTCGCTGGGGTCTTCGCCGTGCCTCGTATGTGTGTCTGTTTTGCCAGAAGAGTGATTAATAAATCTTTCTTTAACTTATTAAAAACCAGTGTAGACCTTTATACAGTAATGAAAGGGAACTTCATTCATAGAGGTACTTGATACAGTTAAACATTTCCCACTTACGAAAAGAAAGACAACTCTATATGTTAAATGTTAAATGAGACTTATATTGTAAAATGGATTTTTATTTTAGCTGCGAGAATGTTCCTTTATTTTAGCAAATAGAACTCAATGCAGTGCATTGATTATCGCCCTGTGTACCTTGTCCTGCCTTTGTGCTGTGATCCCTGGGGAAGTTTGCCATGAATGCAGTATTATCTTGACATACCTCCGTCCTTATCCGTGCTTTCCAGTGAAACTTCACCTGCCACCGGTGTCCCTGCTTTTGATCCATTCTGCTGTTAAGCACTGGCATTGTGCTATCGTATGGCATATGTTTATAGCAATTGTAGAATGGTCTGGAACATCCACAAGCTTTCTTCCCATAAAAATTTCGTAAAGTCTCAAAGTCTGTTTGGAATTGGTCATGGTCTTTCCATATCATGTGTGCATATCCCAGAACACGCAGAATACGGTCATTTTACATCAGGTCATTTGGCCACCCTGGTTGCATCTGGGCTGTATAAAAAGTTAGCCTTTTCCCCCCTTTTCTTTGCAGGCAAGCACCCAGAGTTCGTCTGTTAATGCCAAATTGTATTTTTGCCGCATTTCTGCACTTGTGAAAAGCGAATCTGCAGAATAATTGTTGGTTTTCTTTTCATTTTTGTTTTATAAACAAGCCTATTTTTCAAAGTAAGAATGAATGAGTTTGGGTTCCATGAGTATTTGTTCCTCTTCGATCAGAGCAGCTCTGTATGGATAATAATTTAATATGATTTTATTACTACAGTTCTGATTGGTTATATTTATCTTAGCATGAGCTTTTCACACCAAGATTTCTATATTTTGTAACATAGGGGAAATATTTAAAACATCAAAAACTGTACATCTAGACTTTTTTCCTCCTTCAGTCTTTCCCTCCGATTGTCTGAGATGATTGATGCAGTTACTCACTTGTGTTGTTTTGGAGTGACCAGGAGAAAATTACTGTGACAAGGGGGTTGGAAGGAGGAGGCAGCAGCGCGGTCGCCGGGCGAGTCCCCGATGGACTCCTGGGCAGTTGGTGGGGGGAAGGCACTTTGCTGAGTCCCTGATCTCCTGGTTCCTCCCAGCTGTACAGATGGGTTTGTTGTAGCTGATGTACTTCTTGATACTGTCAAAAATTATCTGGAAATGGTTTTATTTTGTGAAGTGGACAATACTTTGTAATTTATGATTGTGTAAATGGAAGGAAAGGAATTAAATGCATTAAATTCTTCTGTCTATCATTTTGGAGTATGCATAAGAAATCCGTGTCCGGAAGTGGCGGGGGTGGAGGTAGAGAGAATATTCTGGGAACGTTGTTCCCAGATGAATTTTGTCAATAAAGTTTCTGTTCTCACCAAACACAAACATCCACTGAGTCCCCAGCTCGCTGCCCCCTCCCTCGCCAGCTTCCCCCTGCAGAGCCTGCTTGAGGTGAAATTCCAGTGGCCCACTCATTCACTGAGAGATAGGACCTTTACAGCCAATCACTCCAGGCCACTTGCTGAAGAACAGAAACAAAGTTTTAGAGCCAGAAAGACTCGAGTTCAAATCCCAGCTCTGCCTGTTATCTGCTGCATGCGTATGAGCTTGGGAATGGATTTACTCACCTGAAAAACCGGGGGAAATATTCTGAGTGTAATGTCTTGGGTGAAATGATGATTTAAGTAATTAGTAATAGTTGTTTCTTGTTGTTATCATTATTTTAAGAGCGATGACTTAGAAGGAGAAAGGATAGAACATGGAGGAGGGGAAAGAAGAAGCATAAGACGAGAAGGATTTGTCCCAGATTAAATCCAAGTCCAGGTAATTACAGGGGTATTATAACAGGGCTCTCTGATGTGTAACGAGGTTCATTTGACTCCTTTTCTTGAACACGATGGCAACACTTGATCCCCTCGAGCTTGCTTTCCCCTTGAGCCTGCTCACCCAGGCCTATCTTCCCCGCCATCTGGCAGCCTGGCGTGTCCTCTTACCTGGCTTGAAACTCCTGCCATCGGGACAACTCTAGCAGTTACATCTGGAGGGAGTCAGTATCGTTTCCAGAAGCCCACTGTTAAATCATCCACGGGTGGGTTGTGGGAGGTGGGACAGGGACAGGGTGGGTGGGGGAAGACCCTTTTCCTTCTCCCATTAACATAAGTGGGCACCTGGTGGGGGGCTGGTGCAGAAGGTCAAGGGCAGAGCAGAGGCAGGGCAGTGAGGAGAGCACAGGCAAGTATGTGCCACGCAGTTGAAGTATTGTCTGGGCTGTCCTGACTCCTTGGGCAAACCCAACTGAGATTCCTGAGCCCTATCAATCCCCAAATTTAGACTCAGTCTCTTGAGTATAAATATGTAATGTCTATTTTATCAGGCACTTATTAATGGGCCAGACTTGGAATCAATGAAGAAGCCTATCTCACTGAATAAATGAAAGAATGAGTTTAGTCTGGCTGGAGAGAGAAAGCTGGTCGTGTTACAAATTTGAGACCCTAATCTAAGGGAGAGGAAAGCTACTAATGTGGTTTTATAAAATAAACTTAATTTTGAAATATTTTAATATTTACAGAAAAGTTGCAAAGATACTGCAGAATGTTTCTGTGTACTTCTTACCTATTTCTCCTAATGTTAGTATCTATATATATAAAAGCCTAAGCGACCATTACCACTGGATGACCAGATGACCAGCTGGTAGCTATGACATGCACCAACCACCAGGGGGCAGATGCTCAATGCAGGAGCTGCCCCCTGATGATCAGTGTGCTCCCACAGCCAACGTCCCGCAGCTGGCCAGCCTCCCACGGTCCCTCCAACCTCCCACACTCCCTCCCCACTGCTGGCCAGCCCCAATCAGGACTGCATGACTCAGCCCGGATTGGCCCTGATCGCTAGCCAGGCCTAGGGACCCCACCCGTGCACAAATTTGTGCACCAGGCTTCTAGTTTTATATAACGGTACATCTATCAAAACCAAGAAACCAACACTGGTCCATTATTCTTTTTTTAAATATATTTTATTGATTTTTTACAGAGAGGAAGGGAGAGGGATAATTAGAAACATCGATGAAAGGGAAACATCGATCAGCTACCTCCTGCACACCCCCTACTGGGGATGTGCCGCAGCCAAGGTACATGCGCTTGACTGGAATTGAACCTGGGACCCTTCAGTCCGAAGGCCAATGCTCTATCCACTGAGCCAAATCGGTTAGGGTAGGTCCATTACTCTTAACTCCAGACTTTAGTCAGATTTCACAGGTTTTCTTCCTCTGTTCCAGGATGCAACCCAGGGTTCCACATTGCGTTTAGCATTCATGGGTTTTTAGGGACGGATGACACAGTCTAGATCAGGGGTGGGCAAACTTTTTGACTTGAGGGCCACAATGGGTTCTTAAACTGGACCGGAGGGCTGGAACAAAAGCATGGATGGAGTGTTTGTGTGAACTAATATAAATTCAAAGTAAACATCATTACATAAAAGGGTACGGTCTTTTTTTTTTTTAGTTTTATTCATTTCAAACGGGCCGTAGTTTGCCCACGGCTGGTCTAGATTGTTAAAGGATAACTCGCTTGACTATGGATCCACTGGAGAATATGTAGGCAGTGGCAGTAGGGAGGGTTAGTAGAATAGATGCAGGGAGGCAGTGAGATGCTCCCTGTTGTCCTACAGGACTGAGGTCATGTAGCCTGGGGTGGGTGGTAACAAGGCAGAGATAAATAGGACTGAGTTAAATTTAGGAGGTAGAGTTGAAAGGTTTGGTTGTAGATTGAATTAAAGAACCAAGGATGACTCTCAGGTTCCTTAGTTTGACGACTGGCTAATATTTACTAAAATGAACACAAAAAGAAGAGCTGGGGGGTGGGGAGGGGCAAGGAGGGGATAAGGACACATATGTAATACCTTAATCAATAAAGAAAATTATTTTTTAAAAAAAGAAAAGCTAGGGGTGCTTGGAAAGGGGTGGGAGAGGTAAGGAAGGTGATGAATTCACTGTTGGACAGGATTGAAGATCCCTGTGAAATTTCCAAGCAGAGATGTTTCACGAGCAATTGTATTAACCAACCTGAGCTGGTGACAAAGATTTGGGAGTGACTCACCAGAGGTAACAACTGGAACCTTGGGTCTGTATAGGAGTACCCAGGGACACAGAACCGAGAAATACAGGACAGGCCTGACTCAGTTTCCCGCAGCACCATCATTCAGAAGAGGGGAAGGGAGAGGAGGGGACAGATGAGGTCCATTGAATGTCATAAAACATGGAGAAACTCATGAGTGTGGTCAGAAAGACTCCCTATCTTCAGGCGTGTCACACCGTCCAAGTCCATTTTTTGGTTCCACTTCGATTTATTCTGCTATGTGCAAGGCTCCCTGTTAGACCCTATGGGTCAAGGGATTGGCTTAGAGGCTTTGTCAATGCCAATAAGGCGGTGCCCTTTCTTTTTTCTAAGTTGAGTTGAAAAGGTGTCATACTCAAAGACCTCCTCCCCTGCCTTCGTACTGGAGGCGGTACATCTAACCCAGCGGTTATCACAAAGTCCTGAGATTATGAATACATCTGTCTCCACTGAAGGGCAAAGTCCTTGAGATTAAGAACCGTGGATACCACGTGCCCATTGGGCACACCCCCACTCATCCTGCAAGTCTTGACTCAAGGTTCACCTCCTTCCTGAGACTTTCCCCAGCTTCCCCAGGCAGAGAACATAGGTGCCAGCCATAAAGATATGAAAGTTCAGGAAGTTCTGAAAACTATAAAGAGTTGGGTTTGACCAGGACATGAAGTGAGAGGGAGTAGATTAAACAGGCAGGCTGTGCCAGGGAATAAGAAACCTGTGTGCCAAGCACAAGTCAAACTTCGGAAGAGCAGTTTGGTGACACGTGAAGGATAGAGGTGAGAACAGAGACACCAAGCTAACCAGATGCTGTTCCAGCAATGGCGACCTCAACTTGACTCCCCTCAGTAGGGAGCGAGAGCCGTAGGTCTGAAAGATACTGAAGGGATGTCAAAGCTTACTGAATTGAATTGATGCCAGGATTGAAAGGAAGGAAGGGGTCACACTGACACCCCCATATCTGGTTTTCGCAACAAAATGTATATTTGGGAAGATAAACCAATGTGGGCAGGGGAGCAGGGCTGAATGCTTAGGCCACTGGTGTCCTTTCTTTGCAGTTATAAAGCATCATCCTAATGCAGCCTCGCAAACTAGAGTTACAGGAATTTTAGCAGTTTGCTGCCCAGTGAGTTTTTGAAGCCAAACCACACCTGTCTACTGCTGCGATGTCATGGAAAGGCAGTGTGCTGGCCCCATAAGCCTGCCTGCTCAACCCTCATGGGTTCTCACTGAGGCCAGATGCGTGGGAGCAGGTGTGGAGACGCTATCACACCTGCACAGCACTTGGTCCGGCTCTGGTGCTCATGCTCAACCCACCCCCACTGCCCCCTGACTGCTCGTGCGGGAGCCCACCGACCTCCCCACCTCACTGCAGCTTCCGGTCTCTGCTTACTTGGCTTCTCAGTTGCTGGCACATTGACCACTCCCTTCTTCTCAAAACCCTCTCTTTCTCGGCTGCCGTGACACTGCCCTCACCCCCATCCTCTGCTCAGGTTCCCCTGACCATGCTCCCTCTATTGCTGTCCAGGCCCCTTGGCACACCCTCTAATGCTGCTTCTCAACCTCCTTTTGCATCCACTCTGGCACCAAATGCCATCTATCTGTCAACATATCTAAATGAGCCCTAAGATTCAGCCAGCTACCCAGTCCTCCTGCTTAAACCAGCTCGCATGTGATCGACTGCCCCGGCCAAGGTTCCTGGTGAACATGCCCAGCACACACTGAAGGAGACGGTGTCCACGAGTGGTCATTTTAGGGAATCAGAAAGAAAGACATATAGTCCTGATACGATTGAACTTGTCAAGAGTGTACCAAGAAGCCATTGGAAGGTGGAGAAAAATTAGAAATGGCAACAAAGGTAAGTAAATTAGAACTGGGGGGGTGAGAGTAGGGGAGGCCATTATTAACTACAGGAAAAGGCAAAAAGCAAGAAAGCAGGTATAATCATCTGTACACACCGACGCTTAGCCTACACGATACTGACACAGGCACAATCACATAAACACTGTCAGTCAGACACAGGCTCTGATAAGACGCCGGTGGGAATGCTAAGAAGAGAAGCGGAGGGCTGAACTAAATCTGCAGGTGCCATAATAGGAAATTAACAGAGAATGTGGGATATTAATCAGAAGAGAGTGTGATGCCCATATTGTTTA